AACTCTAGAAAAATACAAAAAGGGAGTGAAAATATCCCATAATCCATAATGTATATTCATACATAAATTGAAAACAAAAAAATCCCTGTATACTTCCAGGTTTATTCTCCCTGAGGTAACCACTGTTATTTGTATGTTTCATCATATACTTCTGACATTTTCCTAAAATTATACAGTATATACTTTCGTCCATTTATTTCTTTCTAGGAAGTGGGTTGTGCTATAACTTGCTTCATTCACTTAACATACTATCTTTCCAGATAACAATATATCAAACTACTTTATTTTCTTAAATGGTTTCATAGTATTTCATTACATGAATTTATCCTAATTTATCTAGTCCCTATTCTCAGGCAATTATGCTTTTTCCAAACTTTTGATACTACAAATAACACTATAGTGAGCTTTTTTCAAATACATATATCTGTAAGGGAGAGTCTTCAGAGTAGGACTCTTGTATCAAAGCACATGAGCATTTTAGTTTCGTTTTTTTTTTTTTTTTTTAAAGATTTATTTATTTATTTATACAAGCATTGGGTACAGTCAGAGGCACGCGAAGGTGAGAGAATTCACCAGAGTGAAGAGTAGAACAGGCAGAGTGACGAAGTACACTGCTGAGGGGAGCAGTGGGCAGCAGGAGAGGTTTGCGTGCCATGTGGGACCGTCGCCCGGTGGCTGGGAATGGAACCGGTGCTGCAGAGGCTGCGGGCAGCTTCGCAACCCAGCGCTCAACTGCTGCGCCACCGGGGAGGCCCGAGCATTTTAGTTTTTATACACAAACGCCAAACTACCTTCCAAAGACTATACAAATTTACATTCCATTTATAGTGTGTAGGGGTGAGGTGGTTCTTTTACCCTACATTTTTCTCAAACTTTGATATTATCATTTTTTGCCCATTAGACTGGCAAAAAAATTGGGGGGGGGTTAATTTCATTCGCATTTCCGACTAGTGATTTCTCTGAGGGGTTCAATGTCCTCTTATATGCTTATTGGCCACTTGTATTTCTTTTAAATGTCACATTAATATAATTTTTACAAATTTTATAGGTTTGCCTTTTTCTTAGTGGTTTGCAGGAGCACTTCTGTCTTATAAATATAACACTGTGTTTCATATATAAATATATTCTCTTAGTGCACATAACAGAAACTTCTGTTGTCTTCAAATATTTATTCTTCATTTACATCATCATATTGTTTAAATAGGCAAATGGCCCTCAGTAAAGACTACATTTCCAAGCTCCCCTGCAGCTAGTTTGACTAGGTAACCGAGTTCTGGTCAAACTGATGTGAGCATAAGCTATGATTATGCTCATAAAAAGGATATTTACAAAAGCCCTTTCACTGACATGTGGAGGTAGTGGGGAGCCAACTTTAATCATGAAACATCTGAGGGCCAGCAGCGCCACGTGAAGCCGCCACATCAGCTCATGATACTCAGGCTGTATCATGAGGGAAAAATAAACTTCTAAAATGCTTAAGTCACTGCTCTGTTTTGTTACAGCACCCTAACTTATGTGAACTAATGTGGGATTTGAAAAGTAGAAGTGAGGTGCACAGTCTTCTCATACTTTCTGTCTGTATGGTACTGAATTTTTTCCATCTGCTTACTTTCAACCTACATGCCTCCTGCAGTCAGCGTATAGGAGGGATTTGCTTTCTTTTTTTTTTTTTTTTTTTTTTTTGAGGCATGTTTTTATTTATTTATTTGTTTGTTTGTTTGTTCGTTCGCCTCGTTTATACATGCACTGGGTACAGTCAGAAGCGCGGGAGGGTGAGAGAATTCACCAGAGCCAGAGTGGGGAGCAGAGCAGGCAGAAAGACCGAAGTACACTGCTGAGGGGAGCAGCGGGCGGCAGGAGAGGTCTGCGCGCCATGTGGGACCCGCCTTCGGTGGCCGGGGAGCAGCCGGGGATCGAACCGGCGCCGCAGAGGTCGCCGGCAGCTTTGCAACCCAGCGCTCAACCGCTGCGCCACCGGGGAGGCCCGGGATTTGCTTTCTTATCCACTCTAGAAATCTCTGCCTTTTAATTAGAGTTCTTAAGACTATTTACATATGATAATTGTATTGGTTGAATTTGGGCCAACTATTTTATTATTTGTTTCACTTTGTCTTCCTTATTTTCCACTCCTTTCTTCCCCCCTTTTCTGCCTTTATCTGGATTATTTCTATTGTGTTGATAGTAACCCCAGAAATTATAAATGTATCTTTAATTCACAAAAGCCCAGTTTTTAACTAATATCTTGACTGCAGCTTCCTTATTTCTGAAGAATACTTTGTAGAATTTCTACTAGTGCTCATCTGCTGTGGTATGCGCACTGAATTTTTAATGTAAAAATGCCTTAATTTGGGGGCCTCCGTGGTGGCACAGGGGTTAAAGACAGCACTGTCAAGAGATCAGTAGCCACTGCAGCATGAGTTTGATCCCTGGCCAAGAAGCTAACCCACATGGTGGGGCAGACCTCTCCTGTCTGGCCTGTTCCTTCCCTCAGCAGTGTTATTTTAGTAGATCTGCCCTGTTCTGCTCCCCACTCTGGTGAATCCTCCCACCCCCTGCAGCTCTGGCCTACACCCCAGTTCTTTAAAAAACAAATCTTTTAAAAAAAAATAAAAATGCCTTAATTTTGCCTTTATTCTTTTTTTTTTTTTTACAAAGTAAAACAGGTTGTGAAAGCTCTTCTTAGTGTAATAAAAGTCAAACATCTTACACTACCAGTAAGTATAAGAACTTCAAATAACCTTGAAAGATAAAATATTACGATTCCTCAAGACGAAATATCTCTGTCATTTTTTTAAAGTTTATTTTATATATTTTTACATCATTTTTCACTTTTGTACAATGTATGCATTTTCATCTTGGTTATCGTCCCCATAAAATTCCCACCCCCCTAGCCTTTATTCTTGAAGGATTTTCTGCTGAGTGGAGAATTTTAGGATTGCAGTTTTCAGTATTTTGAGAGCGTGATTCTATTCTTTTCTGGCCTCCATTGTTGCTGTTCAGAAATAAGCTGTCAGTCTAATTTAGGGGTTGGCAAGCTACAACTCCTGGGTCAAACGGGGCCCAGCACCTGTTTTTGTAAATAATGTTTTTTCATAGTACACACGGAACATGGCCACAGCCATTCACTTATGTAGTCTTTTTTTTTTTTTTAATTTTTTTTTTAATTTTTTTTTTTTAATAGAGGCATGTTATTTATTTATTTATTTGTTTGTTTGTTTGTTTATACATGCACTGGGTACAGTCAGAAGCGCGGGAGGGTGAGAGAATTCACCAGAGCCAGAGCGGGGTGCAGAGCAGGCAGAAGGACCGAAGTACACTGCTGAGGGGAGCAGCGGGCGGCAGGAGAGGTCTGCGCGCCATGTGGGACCCTCCTCCGGTGGCTGGGGAGCAGCCAGGGATCGAACCGGCACCGCAGATATCGCGGGCAGCTTCGCAACCCAGCGCTCAACCGCTGCACCACCGGGGAGGCCCCACACTTATGTAGTCTTCATGTTTAGTTTTGTGCTACAATGGCAGAACTGAGTGGTTAAACAAAGATCATATGGTATTGGTATAAAGTAATACTAACAGACCAATGGACAAGAAATAAACCTTCACATAGGGCCACTCAGTGTGGAAAGGACAGGCTTCTCAACAAAAGATGCTGGGAAAACTGGATATCCACATGCAAAAGAATTAAGGTGGACCCTTATCTAATACCACATATAAAAATTAACCAAAAATGGATTAAAAATCTAAATATAAGACCTTAAACGATAAAATCATAGAAGAAAATGAAGTGGAAAAATTTCATGATACCAGATTTGGGAATTATTTCTTGGATATGATACCAAAAAACAGGAATAAAAAGCAAAAATAAACAAATGGGATTACAACAAATTTAAAAAGAGTAGTGAATCAAATCCCAGATTCAACAGTGATTATGAGTAGAATATTAGCTACATTATTAATGCATGAGCTTGAGCAAGCTACTTATCCTTTTAACCTAAGTTTCCTGATCTTTAAAATGATGACAATACTCCTCTCATTAAGTTTGCAGAATGATATAAAGACAGGTACAAAGTAAATATTAATTCCTGTGCTTTTCTAAATTTCCTTTGAAGACTATAAAAGTGACTTACTACAAGCTAAATTCAATGAATTAGATGAGTGATGAAGATAGTTCTAAGTCTAAAAGGTATTTTGTAGAAAGAATCTCATGAGCCTGAGCAACATTTCAATCATATCACTATTCATTTATTTTTGGGAATAATTCTCACATAAGTTCTCAACATTTTTCAAAAGTTTATAGGTTAAAATGACTGATCTGACTGATTAATTCTACCTGAATTGCCTGCCATAATTTGAGAATGTTAAAGTTGTCCACTGGAAACTCTGAGGATTTGTTTTTGAACCATATGAAAACATGTTTTATTAAATGTCACTATTTTCTTGAAAAAAAAAAAAAAAGATTTTGTCCAATTTCCCTAGAAAGAATAGCACCAACTCTATGTACCTAAAACAGTAACTCATTCTGGGTTCCTACAAACGAAAAAAAAAAAAAAAAAAAAAGCGGTACCGTGTCATGCTTTACAATATCTTTATGATGTGCTCAAGATAATCTCTTTAACATCTAATTTTTTCATGGCCCAATTAGGTGCATTCCTTTTTGTCCTATAGTCTGTTAATAAGAGAATAAGTATATTTACAGTTACAGTGTCTTTGGCATCTGAAGACAGTTATTAAATTACCTTTCATGCTTGCCGTCTCCAAGTTAAGTAATACAAATATCTCAGCTTCAATATGTTCTTTTTGAAAGCTCAAATTCTTACATGTGATATTGGGAAAGTAACTTTACATTCCTTACAATGGCAAGTGAGAAAAATATATAAAATTATAATAAAATAGCAATATAACCACAATTACATATAATAAATCAAGACCCAGAAAAATCATTGTTCATGTATTAATTCTATATCATGGTTCTACTTCTAACATTCTGGAGCAACAATAATCCTTACCAGGGGATTTTCCTTGCTGTGAGTTGCTTCTTCGCTCTCTGTATCTGGCTGGAGTAGATAAACCTGTGTCTTTACTAGGCTTGCTAGCAGGCCCCATTTCCGAAATAAGGAATCCCATCTGTTCTGAAGGCAAGATATTCTCAGGTGGATTGGTCTGGCATTTTATACTGGCATCCACCTGAAACAGTAAACCCAACTCATCATTCTGAATTTCTGCCCACCCACAAATATCTACTAAAAGTTATGATATTTTATTTTTTAAAAAGATTTTTATTTATTTATGTATACAAGAGCTGGGGTACAGGGCAGAGATGTGGCGGGCTGAGAGGATCCACCAGAGACAGCATGGGGAACAGAACAGGAGGACTGACTGAAATACACTGCTGAGGCGAGCAGCAGGTGAGACAGGAGAGGTCTGCCTTGCTATGTGGGTTTCTCCCTGGCCCACCGGGGATCTAACTCGTGCTGCAGAGGCTGTGTATTGCTTCATAGTGTGAAGGGAGGCCCAAGTTAAGATATTTTAAAACAGTTCTATTATAGAAACATGATCCAACAAAAATGCTTTTAAGGCTTTTCTATTAATGACACTACCTTTATCATGTGAGAATATGCCCAATAATCTCCCTATAATAAACTATAATACTCTTAAAAATAAAGTGATATTTTAAAAAATTTATGGAAAAAATCTTGAAGAAATAAAAACTCATTATTTAATGCTTAGCCAGAGAAAAACAAGAATTTTTATAGAATAAAAATTTAACAAAGTGTATCATAATGCCTTTCATTTTTAATTCATTTTCTCAGTCTTTGCAACTCACACACACAAGTGCAGATCTCACAATTTATCATATGATACTATCACAATAGCAACAAATTTTTATGAAATATTTAGTATGTGCCAGTCACTGCACTGATTTATATGTATTATCTCACTTAGTCTTCATAATAGCTGGCAGAACTTCTCTGTTACCATGTAATAAACTAAATCAAAGGAAAAAAGAATGATACTACCTTTGATTTTGTTGAGCTAAACTGAATATGTGGTAGTATATTCCCAACACATAAAGCATTGAAATATAAATGGAGCTTAAACATTTACTCAAAAATCAGAGGAAAATTTACCATAAGCTTGGTTTCTCTGAGTGTAAAGTTCACACATAAATTTAGAGCTAGTTGTTAACACTACTACCTTTTCCACTCTAGCATCCTTTCCATCAGATTTCCCCTCCTGTTGGTGATATTAAAATGACCATAGGAGTACCCCTGTTGGATGATGTCAAGAGGGGATGTGAAAACTTCATTCCACCAATTTTGTATTCCTTGTCTTAACGAGGTCCTCAAAATTGCAATAACTTCAGCACCTATAAAACCTAGATCCGGGCCTCCCCTGGTGGCGCAGGCGGTTGAGCGCAGCACTGTGAAGCTGTCTGCAGCCCTTGCAGCGCCGCTCGATCCCCACCAGCTGGCGAGGGTCCCATATTGCGGGGCAGACCTCTTCTGGCTCACCCGCTACTCCCCTCAGCAGTGTATTTTGTCAGTCTACCTGTTCTGTTCCCCCTCTGTCTCTGGTGAATCCTCTCACCCTCCTGCACATCTGGCCTGTACCCTGGTTCTTATATAAATAAATAAATAAATCTTTTAAAAACAAAAAATTTAAAAAAATTAAAACCTAGATCCTGCCCTTCTTAAGAGGTATGCACTTCTTTCTTGTAGTTCCTAAGTTTTCTTTTTTTTTTTAAGATTTATTTATTTATTATTATTATTATTTTTTTTTTATTTTATTCTGGGTACAGTCAGAAGTGCAGGAGGGTGAGAGAATTCACCAGAGCCAGAGCGGAGAGCAGAACAGGCAGAGTGACAAAGTACACTGCTGAGGGGAGCAGCGGGCACAGCAGGAGAGGTGTGCGCGCCATGTGGGACCCTCGCCGGTGGCCGGGGATCGAACCGGCGCTGAAAAGGCCGCGGGCAGCTTCGCAGCCCAGCGCTCAACCACTGCGCCACCAGGGGAGGCCCAGTTCCTAAGTTTCCTTTGGAATGTCAAATCTCTTTATCAAAATGACCACCTTCTGAAATATTCTATTTCTTTATAATTTATTTTTAAGTAAAACTACATAATAAGGGCTGGAATTTAAATAACGCTGGAAATTAAAAACATGGCTTCCCAAAGCTGTGATGTTCAAATAATTTTTAAAGAAAAATTAACTGTGTGAATGCAATTTTAAAGTATAAAATCTAATATTCTGTGCTGTGACTAAGAAAGAATAAAGACAAGTTTTGTGTTCTTTTCACAGGTGTATTTGAAACAAATGGGCATTCTTTGGTGTACTTAATTGACAACATTATTTTCTAAACATAATATATCTCAACAGCTAGACTCAAAAAGAACAATGAGTTAACATAAACCTTAAGACATTTGGATCTAAAATTAGAGCTAAAAAGAATGCACTAGGGCCTCCCTGGTGGCACAAGGGGTTAAGCACCACACTATGAGCAATCCGCAGCCTCTGTAGCAAGAGCTCAATCCCCGGCCGGGCAGGGAGCAACCCACATGGTAGAGCAGACCGCTCCTATCTCGCCCGCTGCTCCCCTTAGCAGTGTATTTCAGTCGATCTGCTTGTTCTGTTCCCCACTCTGTCTCTGGTGAATCCTCTCACCCCCTGCATCTCTGGCCTTTACCCCAGCTCTTGCATGCATAAATAAATAAATCTTTAAAAAATAAATAGAAGAATGCACTAAAAAAAACTGCCAAACAGTTATTTTGGGAATCTCCATGAGATTCTAATGAGTAATTTCTAATTACCTATCTAATCTAATGAGTAATTTTCAGTTCTACTAAAGAAAAAAGAATACAAAATGAAAAAAAAAATCTATGCATCAGGCTATGATTAAGAAAAAAATTAAAGTAGGAAAAAATTAGTTAATTCACAAAAAGTGATTTTAATTTGAGTGTACTTTTTTTTAGAATAATTTGAAAGCACTTTAGAATAAAACTCACTTTCTGGTCATCAACTAGTAGCAATAAGGTAATTGCCTCTTTAGAACATGTCTTTAGAATATGTCTCTCAAACTAGTCACAAGTAAGAAAATTCAAACATAGTGCGCTTGCATGTCAAACTTGAATTCAATTATGCTATAAGAAGTATGAAAATATCTCCAACCATCTTCTCATCTCCATGCTACAAATGGCTGAGAAAGCCTTGATATTATATGTCAGATAAACCATCCCTTCTGGCATCTCCCTGGTACCATAGGGGGTTAAGTCTCAGTGCTATCACCACCATGCCCTGAATTCAATCCCTGGCCAGGGAGCTAACCCAAATGAGCAACAGACCTCTCCTGTCTTGCCCGCTGCTCCCCTTAGTGTATTTCAATAAATATTCCTGTTCTTCTCCCTATTCTGTCTCTGGTGAATCCTCTCACACACACATACACACTCCACTCCCCTCTGGCCTACACCTCAGCTCTTTTATACACACACACACACACACACACACACACACACACACATCACTTCTAAGTAGTGGCATTTTAATCAGACAGAAACACCTAGTCCACCCCATTAAGACAGGAAGCAAAACTCAAGGGATGTTTTCAATATAAAATAAGTTTTATACCACAATGTTCAATCATACTTCCTCTCTAGATGTTGACTTTGAGCCACAACATAATGAGGGGTTTATAGTTATTTCTTTCTGAATCTTTTGTGTAGAACCAATGGGATATGATGCTTCTGGAAAGTATAATGTATTAGCATTAAACTCGAATAAAATCTGGACAAACTCTCCATTAGAACAGTCTTTTAGCAAGAAGCCCACGTACTGCAAGCTTTATCTAGAAATTTTTTTTGCCCCCTTACCTGGTGTGAGCTGAATGGTAGCCCTTCCTGTACAAATACTACTGAAGATGGAGATGGATTATGACTTAGCTGCTCCTTCAGTTTGACATGAGCTTGTTGGATGGCTGCAGATTCCTGCATGGTAGTATTTTCAACAGGTTGAGCTGTGTGGATGGTATAGATGTACTCAGGTGACTGTGGTAGAGAGCAGGTAATTGCTTGTTCTGTTCCAACCACAAAAGATGTAATATCTGAGCCTACAGGAGTGAGTGGCTCCAGCTGGCTAGCCTGACTTGTGGAAGATGGGTTGCTGTTGTTTGAATTAGTTAGAATATGTTGGCCTCTGTTAGATTGAGATGTTGGGCACTGATTCTCAACAGGTTCCACCTTTACCATCTCCAATTTAGGGGAGGAATGCAACTCATCTACTATCTGAAAAACAGCCTCTAGGTTTACTTCTGTCTTTTTATTTTCATCAGTAGCACTGCAAGGCCAACTAGAAGGCAGAAATTCAACTGGATAGGAGGATTGCATTGGAGGATTCTGAGAAAAGAGAAAATAGGACTGTTTGGATAGAAAATCAAATATGAGATTAAGGAGGAAAGCAACAACATTTAGGCTGATGAGTGCTAAATATAAATAGATCAAACTTAAACTAAAGCTAAGAAAATCTGAATGCCAATCAAGTTTTCAGCAGTGATACTTTTAATCTGTTGTTAACATTCCTTAGCAACTATTATATGTCAACCACTCTGCTATTTTAATACTGGACTGGACCAATAATTTTTCAGGATCAAAGTATACAAAATTAAAAGGATACTATGCCCCAATACCTATTTGCTGATAACATATCTATATGCCAAATTCTTTCACAAAGGTTGACAGACAAAATATCACTTTCATCTATTGTATGCTATTTGAGGAATGTAGTAAGGAGTCCACCAATATGTCTATAGTCCACCAATATGTCTATAGATTCAGGGGGAGGTACTAATATTCTGTTCCAAATGATCCAGGAAAAAAATGGATGGAATATTGAATACCTTTGGTTTCTGAGATTGCTTCTTTTTAATAATAAAACAGTATACTAAAAATAGCTGTCACTTTTAGACTGATATCTTGAAGATGTATTCTCTTGTATATAGTGTTTTTGCACAGAGTAGGCACTCAGTTTGTTGATAGTCAAATAATCTACAACATAAAATACTGAGGAAAAAACGATTAAAAAAAACATGTTAAGAGTTGATGTTGCCAATGAAAAGCTATGGGCAGAATATGCATTCAATACATGTTGACTGTATCAGATTATAAACCTAAAATACAAAGTTATGATTAAATAAATCATGCCATGAGTCAACATTGCCAAACACACCACTGAGATTGTGCCAATGATCTGAATGCCATTAATGCCAAAAAATGTAAATTTAAATGGTATAAGTATCAAACTTCTTTACTATAGTCAACAGCACCACTTATTGACTTCTTAATATATGCCAAGCAAAGTGCTTACTATGTGCAAAAGGTTTTGTATACATTATGTCATTTAGTCCTCATAAGAGGTCAGGGAAATGTGATAATCTCCATTTCAAACTGATGAAACTAAGGTTCATAAACTTCGTAATTTATCCAAAGTCACAATGAAATAACTGACATAGCCAGATTTCAAATCTAAGTTTAAATAACTGAAGAGCTCTTAACCACTACAATACACCAACTATTCATGCATACCGTCACCAATAGCTACAATCCAACTGAACTAACCGCACTTATTTCCCAAATGGTATCTGAAGCACTTTCTCCTTTTTTTAACCTTAAAATTTTATATTCACCACTGATCTCTATTTTCTCATAATAAACATATATTGTCTTTGTAGTTCTAAAACATAAATATAAAAGATTATAAACACTATCAGAGCATCTCCAGTGTGATCCACGGGAGAGTGGCTCAATTACAAATGAGCATCTAAGTTGTAGGACAGATGTGTCCGTCAAGTAAAGAGGAAGAGACTGGGCAATCATGCTTGATAATCTGCCATTAAAAATCTCCAACTTGGGGGGCCTCCCCTGGTGGCACAGCGGTTGAGCGCTGGGCTGCGAAGCTGCCCACAGCCTCTGCAGCGCCGGTTCGATCCCCGGCCAGCCAGCAAGGGTCCCACATGGCGCGCAGACCTCTCCTGCCGCGCCCACTGCTCCCCTCAGCAGTGTATTTCATCAGTCTGCCTGTTGTATTCCCTGCTCTGGCTCTGGTGAATTCTCTCACCCTCCCATGCTTCTGACTGTACCCAGTGCTTGTAGAAATAAATAAATAAATCTTTAAAAAAAAAAAAAAGTCCACCTTGGGCCTCCCTGGTGGTGCAGCGCTGTGAGGCTGTCCGCAGCCTCTGCAGTGTGGGTTCAATTCCCGGCCAGCCAGGGAGATTCCCACATGGCGTGGCAGACCTCTCCTGTCACACCCGCTGCTCCCTTCAGCAGTGTTTTCGGTCTTCTGCCTGTTCTGCTCCCCACTCTGTCTCTGGTGAATTCTCTTACCCTCCCTTGCCTCTGGCCTGTACCCCACTTCTATTTAAAGATAAATAAATCTTTAAAAAAAAAGTCCAACTAAGTCCCCTTGATTTGATTCTACACTCTTCAAACAACAAAGTGAATATAGATTTCCCATGTAGATTTTCTTTAAAAAAAAAAGGAATATTCTTTTGAGTACTGGAATGTACCAGTAAGACACTCTCAACAGAAGCTATTCCAGTTAGATGACATTAAAAAGTCACATAAATACAATCTTTAAACAATTATAGCACAAAAACACAAAGCATGACATTTAATCTTATCCTAGAAACATCAGTCTAAAGTATTTAAATCATAACAATTGTTTCCTAATAAAAAAGATGATAATTGAAATACTTGTTTCCAATAAGGGGTCTAAAGTTGAAAGAGACCACCACTTAAATTTCTCATTTTTAACATTTTTTCTATCTCCTTAAAGAAATTATTATCTGTACCACATTAGAAAATTCTTCCATTTGATCTTTTTGGTATTCATTTTACCATGTGAGAGCCTAGAATTGCACTGGTAAAACTAACCTTCAGCAATGATGGAAATGTTTTCTATCTGTGCTGTACAATTTGGCAGCCACTAGTCATATGAGACTACTAAGCACTTGCAAGGTGGCTAGTGTGACTGATGAATAAATTTTAAATTTTATTTAAGTTTAATTAAATTTAAATAGCCACTTGTGAGTAGTAGCTGCTATACTGGATGGCACAGGCTAGAAGAATCAACTCCTTTTCAGCATAGAGAAAACCTAGGCCATAGTCCACAGCACACCTCTGGCTACTAGATAAAATAAAACTACATTCTGAAACTCCACAAGGTCAATAATATTGGACATAAAGCACAGATTATATCCAGGCATGCTCTAAGAATCTTACCTGGAAGTAGTTGCAGTGAGCATATGAAGAGGCAGTGGGAGTGACACAACTACTTAGAGCATCCATATGGGTAGAAGGAGAGCAGCACTGTAGCACAGCTGGAATGAATTCAAACACAGAAATGCCATCAACCATAATAAACCTTTATAGCATTCAAGGCACTCCCTCTTCAACTTGGAAAGAAAAAATTCAGAAGTTTTCCTTTGTGGGTACAATAAAAGTACATATAATCCAACTAGATTGTATCATTTGTTGAAAACAACAATAAACTAATTTTAAAATTCATTAAAAAGGGTCAGGTTTACTTTCACAAAAATTAGTGCCTATTTTTTTTTGTCTTTATAACCAAACATTTGTTATTATTCATCCTGTTGAAAATATCAGAATATATCTGGAATTCCAAAATAATGGTTATAATCATTTTAACAGTAATAACCATTTGAAGGCAGATGCATTTTTTAAAAAGATTTATTTATTTATGCATACAAGAACCGGGGTACAGGCCAGAGGTGTGGGGGGTGAGAAGACTCACCAGAGACAGAGTGGGGAACAGAATAGGCAGATCAACTGAAATACACTGCTGAGGGGAGCAGCAGGCAAGTCAGGAGAGGTCTGCTGCGCCATGTGAGTAGCTCCCTGGCCGGGGATTGAACTCGTGCTGCAGTGGCTGTGGATAGGTAGGTTGTGTCTTAACCTCTTGTGCCACTAGGGAGGCCCAAAGACAGATGTATTTTTAAGGATAAAATACTCTCCAAATGTTACTAACATTAAACAAGGCATTCAGTGCCATTTACACAAGAAAATGTTTTAACCAATTATACAAACCAGACTGCCTGGTTTTGGAGGCCAAATCCAAAATTTTAAAAACTGGGTAAACCTGAGTAAGTTTAATCTCTTTGGGTCTCAGTTTCTGCATCCTATTAAAATAAGGGTAATAAATATTATCTACCTACTATGGCTGTTGTGAATGAGTTAACATGAATAAAGCACTGAGAGTAGTACTGGTATACAGCAAGCAAGTAATAAATGTTAACTACTGTTCTTTTCACTAAAGAAATACATTTTCCAAACTTTCTCTTTATAGTTAGGTCACCCTGAAAAGACTTAATCCTTTTGTGCTGGAATAGACTTACAGATTCAGCCTTAATATTAAATTGAGTCTCCTCTTTTCCAAACTCTCCAGAAAAATGAGAATCAGTTATAACATTATACATTTGGAGTAAACAGAGGATGACATTTATTGAACATCTATTATGTTAGAGGCACAGTACTAGGTGCTTTACATATATTGTCTCATTTAATCCAAACAATAGTCATATGAGGGTATTAACATTACTTTACAAAATAAGGAAATGAAAGCTCTGAAATGTTAAATAATTTGCTGAAAGTCACAGTCAGAAATGACAAGCCAGCAAGCAAATTCCAAAGCACATGCTCTTCAATATACCACAACGCTTTGCTTTCTAAACATTCCTTCTTTCTAAATGTAACATTTAAAGTTTACTAGAACTCCATTTGCTCAATATTTTTAAGGACAACTTTACCATAAAGTAGCAACTTTCTATTTTTAAGTCTAAATTTTTCATATTTTGAATGTGCTAATATAATAAAATTACCAAACAATCTCATTCCTTAACCTTTGAAAGTAAACTGGTAAGATTGTAAATTCATTGAATTTTTTCCTATTTCTTTATAATAGACCACTGATTTTAAAAATGTCAGAAGTTCATAAAGGTATAGTAAAAATAAATATTTTTTCACTTTATCATGTGTAATTTTAGGTGTTAAATTTTGCAAATGAAAGGAAAAATTTGAAATAATGGACATAAGTTTAGTTCATCTATAAATACAAGGGCTGATGCTTTCTGAATTACATAATTTTAACAATTCCAGGGTTTTAAAAAGTCAGAATGCTACATAAAATTCAAATTATTGTTACTTCCAGCATAGACTAGGCAAACAGGTTTTTACATTTTCTCCTTTGCAGAGTATTCAAATATACAATTAAGTTGTTTTGGATTTGAATCTGTTTTCTCAGGAATCTGGGAAATGAGTTGGTCAACAAAGTAAAATACCAAGGAAGGGTCTGCAAACTCCAAATTTTACCTAGAGTTTTAACAGCGAAGGAAAACCTGGCCCCCTAGTGGCAAGAAAGATTCCACCAGGAGTTGCAGCTCTATCACCATAAGACAGTATTGCCTTACAAATAAATCAATTAAAGTTATTAGCTTAATTTTTCTAACATTGGCATGTATGACACCATTGGTTACACATAATGAATAGCTGTTAAAGTATACTTTAAAATAATTTTTTTGGAGAAATAAACTAGAATAAACAACAGTGATAGCTGATTTGGTATTAAGGAAACAGAAAAATAGTGAATATCCTTTGAAGTGTCCAATAACAAATGGAAAGTAAAAAGATACCTGCATGAAGAAAAGAAGCTGAATAAAAATCCATAAAGATTCCTCAATAGCTATTTCCTTACCAATGCAGTCCTACTTCATAAAGTCAACAAAATAGCATAAAGCAAGGTAAGTGTATTGAATATGAAAACCTAGCTATAGAAATGCAACTGTGTGCATAGTACATGACAAATCAATCTAGTGGGTACTATGAAAGCACTAACATTTGTAAAACTGAGTTTGCCACTATGTCCTATGACATATTAATTTGCATAAAGATCTTCCAATGTCTTCCTGAAGGCAGTGCTCACTTATGGTATTAAATTGCACATAGGAGAAAAAACAGAAATAATGGATAGAATTACATTTCAAATGTAAATACAAGAATTAAAAGCATTTAAAAAAACAACTCTAGTTGTTTAGGAAATCCAGGATTCCTAAATATTATCTAAAGGCAAAAATTTTCACTCACACGATAGATTAGGAAAACAAGTTCACACACTTTATCTTATGGAGGTACTGCAAATACATGATTAAAATGTTTTGGATTTGAATCTACTCAAGAATAGTACAGTGTCGGGCTTCCCCGGTGGCGCAGCGGTTGAGCGCTGGGTTGCGAGGCTGCCCGCGGCCTCTGCCGCGCCGGTTCGATCCCCGGCTGCTCCCCGGCCACCAGAGGAGGGTCCCACATGGCGCGCAGACCTCTCCTGCCGCCCGCTGCTCCCCTCAGCAGTGTACTTCGGTCCTTCTGCCTGCTCTGCTCCCCGCTCTGGCTCTGGTGAATTCTCTCACCCTCCCGCGCTTCTGACTGTACCCAGTGCATGTATAAACAAACAAACAAATAAATAAAACATGCCTCTATAAAAAAAAAAGAATAGTACAGTGTCAACAGTGAGAAAATGCCCAATGTAGATGCTCACAAGGAAAAACAGCCTAACAGTAAGTTTAATTTCAATATAAATTACTATAGCAATTAGAACCATAGCATCTCATTTATGATGAGGATTAAAAAAAAAAGATCTTCTGGGCTGGGCGTATACCCAAAAGAAGTGAAAGAAGACACTCCAACAGATATTTGTGCACTCATATTTACAGCAGCATTTTCACAATAGTCTAAACGTAGAAGCAACTCAGTGTCTAGCACTAGAAGAATAGATACACAATATGGCACATACACACAATGGAAAATTATCCAGCAAAAAAGGAAAGAAATTTTGACACATGCTATAATGTCAATGAACTCTGAAGATACTACACTAAATGAAATAAGCCAATCACAAAAGGACAAATATTGTATGATTTCTCTTATATGCAGTCCCTACAGTTGTCAAATTCATGGAGACAGAAAGAACAGTGGGTACCAGGAAGTAGGGGGGTGTTTCAGTTGGGGAAGATGAAAAAGATCTGGAGAGGGATGGTAGGGATGGTAGTCTAACAACATGAATACATTTAATGCCATAGAACTGTATACTTAAAAATTATTTAAAGAGAGCGCCTCCCTGGTGGCACAGGGGTTAAAGACAGCTCTATCAAGCTATCACCAAGCACTATAGCACATGTTCAATCCCCTGCCAGGGAGGTGATCCACATCACACAGAGACCTCTCCTGCCTGGCCCGCTGCTCTCCTCAGGAAGGTATTTCAGTAGATCTGCCTGTTCTGCTCCCCACTCTGTCTCTGGTGAATCCTCTCACCCTCCACGGCTCTGGCCTACACCCCAGTTCTTACATGCATAAATAAAAAAATCTTTAAAAAAACATTAAAATAGTAGATTCTGTATTGTATTGTCTATTTTAACTCCATAAAAAGAAAGATAGATATATCTGTGCTTTTGCTTAGTTTCTACTTTCAGTTAAAGAGAATGTCCTGGTGTATCTATGCCAAGTCTTATCCCGTAAGACAAAATCAGACTTTTTCAGAGAAGTTGACAATATAGGTTACTTGAACACAAGAGTAACAATATCAAAGGCTCTTATAACGCCAGGTTCTATAATGCTTACATACATTGTATAGAATTAGAGGTTTGAAAAAGATTACATTTTTAGAATGTAAATGTATTTTAAAACAATAATAAGCAACTTTTTTGCCCAAGAGTCAATTCAGAAAAAAATATAAATAAAAATACAATATATAGCCTTGAAAAAAAACAAAAATATCCTACGTACTTTAGAGGAAAGTATATATTTTTACAATTACTTTAGCCTTTAAAGTGTTACTATCTGAAAGATAGTTTGAAAGATAAAGTATTTTATTCTTTATATGTAAACAGTGCTTCAAATTTTATAAAATCTACTTTACACAAAATCACTTAAACCCTAACTAAAATTATCGTCTCTTTAAAATTTTTATTACTGTCATTTCATGGAAAGGGAAATTGAGGCTGAGTGACATGAAATAATCCACTGAGGGATCACATCAGATGATTAATTGCAAAGTTGAAACGCAAGTTATTTCATTCTGTTCAATAAATTTTTTACTAAGGACTCATTATAGCCAAGTACGGTGCTAGGTAGAAAAGGATACAAAAATGCATTAGATGAAGCCCTGCTCCTGAGAGGTTCCTAAACTGGACCTCCAATTCTAGCCATTGAAGTATATTCTCTCTGTAAGGGCAGGGAGAGTCAACAACCAAGGGCAGTTCACTACCAACAGAAGCATAGGAGGGTAGCCCCTCCACCAATGTGTTGTCTCCCTCCTTGGGCAGTAATTAACTCTGGGGAAGAGATATGCCAGAAAAGGGTCTCTCAAAAGAAAATAATATACCTCCATGGGGGAACCAAAAAAAGGATCAAGGGGGGAAATAATAACAATAAAAAAACAAAACAAAACAAAATTAACAGGCAACTATAAATCAGACACATTCTTCAGGGGTGGGAAAGGGAGAGAGATCAAAACAATGGCTGGAAGAGCACAAGGGACTATGGGAAGGTGCACAGTTGGGAATTCTATAGGGAGTACACCTGAGAAAACAAAGCATTGGGTACAAAAATGAACAATAATGTAAAATATATATAAGCAGATTATATATAAAAAAGCAAGCAAGAAATAAGAAAAGCAAGCAAGCAAGAAAAAAATACCCCTTCTTATAAAACAGGCAGGCAAACATAAGGATCAAAAGTCGAAAGAATGGAGTCAAGTCAGACTGTCTAGGTTTCCCCAGTCCTGTTTCTGCCTAGTGTCGCTTGGTTTCCTAATCTATAAAATAAAGATAATTACATTATCTTATAAGGTTGCTGTGAAGATCAAATGAATTAATATTTGGAAAGTATTCAGAACAGTGTCTGGTCATAGTGACTGCTGTATATTTGTTAATTTAGAGATGAAGAGCAGCAACAAGTCGCTAATCACTTGTTTGCGCTTAAAAGTCAACTTAAAAAAAAAAGCTAAGCTGATTTTAAGTCAGTTCAGCATTATAACTTAGTCAAAGGAAAACAATATCTCAATATAGGTCTCTATAAAAAAAAGAATGCAAGAATATTCTTATCTATGTCCAAAATACAGAGAATGAGTAAAACAAAAGTCTAAAATGAAGTTTTTAATAAGAGAAGTAAATTAAATTATAGTAGCCTATTAGGGAAATAACATCAGAGGGAAAAACTGATTCAAGATTAAACAAGTCAACCAACACTGAATCTACACCATTTCATCTTTGAAAAAGTGCTGAGAGAAAAAAAGTGATAAGATGGAAAAAATATAAGCAAGCTAGGCAAAAAGAACAGATGCTTCTAGAGAGGAATGACAAATATAAGAAGTGATTCAGACGAGTCATTTTATGAATCAGTCTAATAGCAATCTTTTTTCCTCAATGTCTGGCTTTACTAGATAGTTGTGAAGTATTGCAAAATTCAAAATCTACCAGTTATACGATATGAAGATCAGACCCGGGCTTATTTTCAATATAACTAATTTTTAAGTAAAGCTAGGTATTGTTTTTATTAAAATTTGATCCAAACCTCACATAGTTCACTTTAAACAGTAAGTATGACCATTATTGCAAAACTAGCCACTTTGGAAGTGATTATTATCCTGCCTCTAGGAATGATATTCTACTTAACTTTGGGTCTTTTGTTATGTTATAATAGGTCTTTCACTCTTTAACATTACAATGTTTTATTTATATAGTAATGTTTTATTTATATAGAATGCTCAAAGCAGTTTTGCCTACATTGTAACATAGAACTACCCTAAATCTTTGAAGTCATCATGAAATTATGAGATTCCTTATTCTCCTAATCTCAGAAATTTAGTTATTTCAGTCAGCCCTATTAAAGAAGACAAATCAAAAGTTCACGTAACATAAGACTGCTTTATACACACTGTATACTATTAAGCCATCAGGAGCACTTGTTCTTTATAATGTCTCTTTTCCAGTCTTTACCTTGAACTCGGAGATGATTTTCAATTTAGAAGTTGACTTCCAATCATAATTATTTAACAAACTGTATTTCTACAAAAATTAATAATATTAACTACTTACAGTGTTTTCTGATAAATTATACACAAGTGGTTCTCATAAAATTTAGAACTAGGAGATTCCAAGAGGCATTTAGACTTGGAATACATTTTCCCATAGAAACATTGTACAGACCAGTTTGGCTCATAAACCAGACTATATAATCCACTGTATATTAATGTAGGACAATTATCAACATGGAACCTAACCACCACAGCTAATATGTCTATAGGAGCATGCCTGCAAAATTCCAACCAGATTTCTAAATCTCTCAGCTGCAGTTCTTCCAAACTTCAACTCCCTGGAAAATTTTGATTTTTAGTAGTTTGAGGAGGGTGTGTAGGAGGATTAGGAAAGAGAAACATTTATAGGTAAAAGGGGGTGGAGGAAAGTAAGGAGTTGTCAAGTTGATGGGGATAGAATATAAAGTAAGTGGAAGGAAGACAGTCTCTCTCTATATACATACATATACTCTATGCACACATGAAATATAGCCAAAATTACAATTAGATAGCAATTCCTGATTTGCTTATAAAAATATTGAATTAAACTACCCATTAATAAAAATCTGCCCCTATTTGTTGCTATACATAGATATATAGCTTATAACATGAAATTAGTCATCTTCTATTTTTAAAGATCATATAGATACTTTTGTTTTTCAAAGAAACATTTGAAAATCTGGAAAAATAGTTGGTCTCAACCTTTTTCTGTGTAAGAAGGTAAATAAACTTTTAAAAAGTTTCTTATAAGCAAAACAACTAAAAGTGCTAACCCATCCGTACTCCATAATTTCTTCCTCCTCTTATCCCTCTCAACTCCACCTATCAAGAGCTGCAGTTTTAAAAATCTTAAGACCCATCTAATTTAAACTGTAGTTTTATTATTTTAATATTATTAAACTTAAATGCTTTGGGAAAATAAATCAATCCCTCTTGCTGCTGTATTTAGGGAGAAGGCAATGAGCCAACAGTAAAAGAATATAGTTGGATGTTCAGCTAGAAAATAAGCAAGGGGCCTCCCCTGGTGGCGCAGCGGTTGAGCGCTGGCCTGCAAAGCTGCCCGCAGCCTCTGCAGCGCTGGTTCGTTCCCCGGCCACTGGCGAGGGTCCCACAAAAAACAAACAAACAAACGAAAATAAGCAAGTACTACTACAAATAGAAGAATTAACCAGACTTACTTTTACAAGAAAACAAATCATTTAATTCCACTATCTAATTGACATTTCTTCTAATTATTTTCGCTATGGATTTTGTCCTGCCTGGGAGGAAAACCTCTAGAAAATACTTCCAGATCTATGTATCTGGTGTTTCTGCAAAACAGAAAATAACTTGAATGAACTAGTAAGGCTCTATTCTTACAAAAAGGTATCTTCTCTCCCCTAAGAGACACTTAAAACCCTGATCCCAAGAAGTTAAACATAAGTTCACTGTAATAAGGATTCCCAAGTCATGAGATCTAACTCAGTACCCCTGGCTGAGTTCCAGGTCAGATGTTATTGTCATGTTGTCCTTTTCTCTGCTACTCCCAATTCTTAGATGACTGGGATTACACTGTAAGGCCCGCAAAGTCAAAATACCATTGCATTTTTACTAAAGGCATATAATTTAGTTTTAAGTGATGAAGAGAACACTCTTTACATTATATTAAGTTCTATAACTAAGATACTAAAATGACTACATTAGGTAATTTTACCTCTAAAATTAAAGAACATGAAAGATGTATATAATGAGAAAAAACACTCTGCACCAAGATCAGAGTTATATAGCTATATATATATATATATATATATATATATATATATATATATATATGGTGCACTAAGTCTCAATTTCATTGCTAAAACACATTTTGAGGATAAGAAAATTTCACTAAAAACATACACTTTTATGCACCAACAGAATTTTCACATCCTTAAGAACATAACGTTATCTGTATTGCTTAAAATATGTCCTGATGAGAAATCTTTGACATTTCTTAGGAGTATATTCCTACTATTTTTGTTTAACCATGCAGAAATGCATTTAAAAATATAAATGGTCATTATAAAGTACCTTAAGAGAAGCCACTGAACTTGAATTTCTCCTACCTGTTGGATAGTAGGCTTGGGAGTACTGCGCTGAGGGTGTGTAGTTACTATATTTTTGGGAGGAGCTGACCATTGTTTGAGGACCTTGCTGAATGTGTACGGATGTGGCGCTGGGCTGCAGGGTATAGGTAACCTCAGTTGGAAACCTCTGCAGTACAGGAAATGGAACCCCTTTATCTGAAAAAGTGGGAGACGTTTCCACTTGTCCTGGGTGCATTCCAAGGGAGTTCTGCCATGTTCTAGGAGGAATCGGGGTCCGATCTAAACCTTTCAGAGGGAAAGTACTGTGGTTGTGGGATGAAGTTGATACGTAGGAGTAAGGAGACAAACTATCTCGCCGGAATGACCGGTGGAATTGTCCTACAGCCACTGGTCCTGCATAAAAGAGGAAGAGCAATTTACTAATTTTATATTATACCACTGGATGTAGTAAACCAAAAGTCACAAAATATACACTACTCTTCACCAGTGAATACGCTGAGTTCTCAGCCATTTTTAACACAACAAAAATTTATTTTGTAAAGACAAGTACAGAATCCAGACTATGAGATCACACATGTAATGCTGAAAAAAAACAATCAAACATTTATTTGGTTTTCAGTATCACTGTCAAAAAGACAAAGTGGCTGATCTTTAACATTTAATTATATGTTAAATCAAATATTCAATGTTCAAAGGCTTTAATAGATGATTCAGCCATCTTACCTTGTACCGCAAATGGTTGAACCAGATTTTTCCAGTCTGTAAGCTACTTTCTAGAAGTATTACATTTTCATTCAGTCTTTCAAAATATTTAGGAACCTTAGTAATAGGCATGAAAATAAGCACTTAACCATACACATAAAAGGAATGTGTGTAACAAATAAAAATTATAGCATAAACCAAAAAGAAATGTACTGTTCTCTGCTCCCTCCCAACTGATTTTCCTTTAATAATAATATTTGCCAAAAAGTCAGGCCTGAAAATTCTGACTTAGTTCTCTTTTAAGTCCTTAAACCAACCAATCTTTTTCTATGGCCTTTTTCATCAGAGTATCTCTACTAGTGTCACCTTCCAGATAACAATGACTCTCAAACATTGATCCCCATCTGAATTATCTGAAGAATTTGTTAAAAATATACCCAGCCTCAAAGATTCTGACATTTGCTTCCTCTTATCTAGCAAGGTAGAAAGGAATTAAAACGTGGAATAAAGAAGACAAAGGGCAATACTATGTAATGAGGAAAGTGAAAATATAAATGTACAAAGCTGATCTTATTTTATTGACTATGGTTCTTGAACTTAAAGGTAGCCTAATTTATTCCGAGAGCTTTATGTATTAAATTATGTGGTTCACAAGTTTCTTTCCATTTATTAAATATAAAGACAGGCAGAAAATCTAATGTATGTGCTACTCATCTGTTAAAGTACACAGTGATAGCACTCAAATACCTGCTTTTTCAAATATTTAAACTGTAAACCCACTCAATGTGTTATACATCTGTTATTCTACTTATATCATTTTATTTCCTCTAAAGCATAAAGTATTAATGCCTACAATAAGCACATACATATACATACATAAGTTCTGGAGTCCTAGAAATCAAGAGCTGAGTCATCTGAGAAAAAAAATTCTCAGTTCAGAAGACTGAAGGTATTCAAATGACATACCTCTTAAAAACTTTTCCTTTAAAGCACAAAAAGCAGTTTTTATGTTATCTGACTAGCAATTCCATATGTATTCATACTTTAAACTCCCCCTAAGACAAAAGACCTACAGAAACATTTTTTTGCTCTTCACAATGGATGTTTCTGAGCACCCAAGACTATCCACCACTTGATTTTTCTTTGCTGCTTCACATACTAAAACTACAGATTGCTAGTGTCCAATTGCTGGGTAGTCCTTCTTTTACCCTCTTTAGAGTTAAGCTGTTGATGAACTTTCATATTTAATTAAGCAGTTAAAGAATTTTTGAATGATTTCTTATATTTTGGTTTAGATCTGAAAATATCAATTCTATTTCCATCATGGCAAATTTTGAGTGATAGTCAAATATTTATATATTTTAGGTGCTGCTAATATAAGAATACTGTTAGGATCAGAAGGACATTCCTTTAAATCTGTTTTTCTCTTTAATAAAGAACTAAAATATGTTCAGCTTTGATTTATTCTTCTGTTAAGAATTTATCTCATAGGGTTTAATGAGGTATATAGCGTCACAGAACATCACCTATATTTCTTCAGAAAGTCTTTAAGATATAGGTGGCAAAGTTTAAATCCAGAATTCTTGAAATGTAAGGCAAGATGACTTCTGTTCTTAAAAGATTTTATTCCTTCTATATGAGTGAATCTGAGTTAATCAATCCTCAGGAAAGAACTTGCCCCTTGCCCCAAATTTGTCTCTTGAGAGGGTAGGTGTCTTCAGGCAAAGGCAAATTACCTACTGCTCAGACTTGTTACTTAGTTTACAGCTTTTTAACAAATACCACAAAATACAATAAATAGGCACTAAAAACAAAATAACAAAAATGGATCAAATAAAGGGAAAAAAACAAGTGAACCTCACATTTCCTATCAAGTACTTTCTTGAAAGGTAAACAGATCAGCTTCCCGATGGATCTAAATAAGAGAATTAGGTCCTAAAACAGAAGATTCTACTGTAAAAAGAGTCAGAAGTATTCAAACCATAAGCTAAGGTAGAACACAGAAAGCAAAATGGAAACTAAAAAGTAGCAGTGCAGTCAGGAGTGTAATCAAGGCAAGACTCAAGCTAAATAAAAATTGGAAAAATAGAAGAGTCAAGGACCTTGAACATGGAATTAAAGCAAAATAAGGTTGAACAGTATTCTTGAACTTCAGATTACATTCCATGCAAACAAGTAACACAATTTCCTAGTGAACCAAGCCACTAGTCTGGACAAACACACCTGACATAGCTTTTGCACATACCAATAGGTAGAACGATTAAAAAAAAAAAAGAAAGAAAAGGAAATATATGAAAGCGGCAATAGTGTAGGTATGTGTGAATTAATGTATTATTTATATTGAAAAAATATGAATTAAATTTGCGTGTTCTTCAACAAATAATTTTTCAAATGACCACTAAGTGAAGAAAAATAGACCCTAGACAGCCTCTGCATTTCTTCCATTAAAATGGGCTCCATCCTTTGACTACAATTGGACTTGCGACCCATGAGGTTAAAAAAAAAAAAGGTGGGGGGGAAGGAAAAAAACGAGCAAGTTAGCTTTTATGTATGTATATGTTTGGGTTTCTTTGTTTGAAGTGGTTATTATCCTCTTTCTCTCAAGAACACATTTTCCAGTCTTTTCTCCCTATGCCCACCAGATACACAACCTGAAAAACAAACACCCAAATCAGAGATTCTGCCCAGTGTATGCCATGCTATGGTCTCTATTCCTTTCCCCACCAAAACCAATGGCCATCACATGGGGTGGCTTGATAGTCCATTAGAATTCCTTTAGAACATTCCTATGCCACTGCTATTTTTCCAACTTGTTACTAGAACTCTAACCTAATCCTTTATCTTCTAAACTCCTTAACTTCTAAATTCCAAATGACCAAAGTGCCATCTCATTCTTAAACCTGGCGTAGGTTAAACTGAACCATGTTTCCTTTGTTGCACATTTAAAAAGCTTTCCACGGCTGAAAAATAACGCAGGCATCTTTGTGTTAAAACCATTTTAACATGCTGAAAATGGTTCTATTATTCTCCCAGTTGAAGGTAAAAAATATGAATTTTCATTTTTGTTTACTGCTTTCTTGGTATGTATACTGCTTCATGTCATGGACTATTAAAACAGAGAAAAGAAATATGCCATCCTTATCTTCTTGAAAAGAAAAACAGAAAATAGGTTTATAAATTTCCTACCACAGTCTTAAACTTTTAGCAAATACACGTTTTAGGCATACAAAATTCCTTCAATACTGAAAGACTGTAGCCAATAGTGAGAAATTCAAAGATTGTAAAAAAATCGCAATTTTCTAAAATTCCTTTTACCTAAAATTTGACAGTTGTAAAGAAAACAACTCTGCTTTCAATGTGTCTAATCACAGCACCCCTAAAATAAGCATGAACTTCTAATTAGCTGAAATCCAAGAAATGGCTGGCCAATTCATTCTACATAGGAAAAACATCTTGCAAATGCTTTCGCTCTTAAAATACATGAACAATGCCTATCGTCCTACATATCACTTGGAACCTAAAATACTGTTGTCGGAGCCCTTTCTCCAAGTTTTCTTAGATGTGTCAGTGGGTGGAAGGCGGTGTGTCTCTTCAGTAAAAACTTCCACCTGGGGCAGCTTATTCCCTTTCCTTTGGTTGGTGTAATGGTCTACGTTTCCTTGCCTTTGACCTTGTGCCTTCCCACCTCGACCTTCAGGAGAGTCGCCCTGTGTGGTAACGCTGTTCTGCTTCCCACTGGAGCAAATGACGCTCCTCTTTGTTTCTTCACACCCAGTGTTTCCACAATGGACAACTTATTCCAGATGTTCACAGTGGAGAGACTGGGTCTCAAGAAGGGAAGAGGCCAAGGAGGTTTGGGGTTCCGGGGCCTGGGGACAGAGGGCCTCTCTGCTCACAGACTCTTTCCGGGGAAGCGAGGCCAGGCGAGGCCCACCGCGAGGCCCACCGCACCGAAGCCCAGCAATAGCGGCCCCCGGGAGCCTCTGGGGCCCCTCCAGGCAGAGGAGGAGCGAACACGCCCTCTGAGGCGGAGGTTGCTTCCTGAGGTGCCATGTGCCCCGCGGGGGCGACGGCCCAGGCGGCCTGGAGGACTCACCGTGCTGCTCCGGCCGGGGCCCCGCGGGCGGCGGGGGCGGGGGCGGCGCGGGCGGCGGCTCCTGGGGCTGCAGCGGGGAGGTGGAGGCCGAGGCGGAGGCGGAGGCGGAGGTGATGAGGAGCCTCTGGAAGCGGTTGGGCGGGCGGCAGGGCACCTCCAGGCCGGCCGCCAGCTTGGCCTTGTTGGCGCTGGTCAGCCTCTTGAGGTGCACGAGCAGCTGCGGCTGGTCGCGGCGGAAGTGAGGGCTGTGGAAGTGGTGGAGCGGCCCGTCGCCGGCCGGCCCGCCGCCCCCAGGCCCCGGCCCGGGCCCCGACGTGCCCGGCCCGCCCAGCACCACCTTGCGGAAGCCGTAGAGGTTGAGCTGGCGGATGAAGCTGGTGAAGTTGGTGGTCTTGAAGAGCTCGGGCTCGGCCCCCGCCCCCGACGCCGCCGCTGCCGCTGGCCCCGCCGCCGCCCCCAGCGCCGCCGCCCCCGGCCCCCGGCCCGGGCGGGCTGAGCAGCTCGGCCTCGAAGAGCGGCTGGTCAATGAGCAGCCCCTCGCCGCGGCCATCCCAGCGGATCGAGCGGTACCGGGGGCTGTTCACCAACCGCCACAGCTTGGCGGGGAAGTTGTTGGGGTTGATGGGGGTGGAGAGCAGTGCCTCCTCCATCGCCCCCGCCCGGGCCCTGGGCCTCGCCCCGCCGAGCCTGGCTCTCCCACCCCGTTCTCGATCCCCCCGGGCCTTCGCTTCGCCCTGCCCCCTCCTGCCAGCGCCCGGCCGCCGCGGACCGGGGGACCGTTGGTGCACGAGCCCCCGCCGCGCCTTCCGGGGCGGCCAATGGGGCCTCGAGTTCCCGCGCGCGGCCAGACACCTCACGAGCCGAGCCGAGCCGAGCCAAGCCGAGCTTCCTCCTCGGGCGCCTCGCGGCCCGGCCCTCTGGTCGCCCTGTGCCCCTGAGCCAGGCAGCAGGGCGGGACGCGACCCTGCTGGAGAAAGCCCCATCCCTCCGCATCCTAAAACCGCAGATCTTGGTCTGGGTCTGGCTGCCCACCAGGTAGTGTTAAGTCCTGCAAAGAAATAAGCCCATTTATCCACCGTGGAAGACTAGGATGTGTGTATTTCAGTGCAACCAGTATGCGGGGATTTAGAATTAAGGAAGTGCACTTCTGGCAATACAAAGTTGCTACAAGAACTGGAGGCCTGACTGTATAATCTTAAATACAGACTGTTGAATTGTTTGTCTCGCCAAATAAAAATGGTGATGGTGCCAGAGTATATACCAAGTTAACTTATTCACCTTTTTAGATAGTAACATTTTACGTATTACACTCTTACCCCAAGCTCTTGCTCGGGATAAAACAGTATGAAATGAAGACAAACAGGGAATCAGGGAAAACTGACATATAATCATATAATCCTATGTACCTAATGAACCAGATGGTAAAATTTTAGGCATTATAGAGAAATATATCTCACAATGGGATCGAATTCTACAATATTCATCAGAATAAATCCCTATTGATCAATAAATAAGAATATAACAAAGTGCCGATAAAAACAAGAGGTCCACCAAAAAACATGGAAATGGTGAAGAGAATAATGATTCAGTTTTATCTCTTATTAAGAAAAAAGGAGTATTATGTTTTCTTAGAAATAAAAAGACCCAACAAAGCAGCACTAATATAGAGATTTTATTTAAATTGTATTGAGTTTTTACAGCACATTGCATGTTTGTCACAACGCAACTGCACAGTTTGGATTTTTGGCCACATCATGTCACTTACACCCACAAGAGCTCTGAAAGGAGTATTTGATGAATACATCTGAGCTGAGAGCCCAGAGTCTCTCTCCAAGGCCATGCAGTATGTTCACTGATGGGACAGTCCCTTGAAACAGCCAAAGTAGACAGATACGGTCTCCTCAAATGTTACCAATCTGACTCCCCCGAAATTGGGCAGAGTGAAGTGCAATGAAAGTCAAGTTAATTAAAAAGCCACTCACAACTGGCAGTAAATTGTAATGATTAAGAAAATGCTTAGAAGAATTTTACATATCAGACAAGGAATAATTTGTTACTTTTCAATGATCTCAGGAATTCCCAGACACAAAATCTCTATTATTCAACTCCATTTAAATGGGAAAGAAAAAAAAAGTTCCGCTAGGCTGACCTAAATACGCCAAAACTTTTTAGGTTACATCCATGGCAAGCATAAAAGCACAGATGCTTCTCTGTAGGACTGAAGGAAGGTCAGGACAAATAACAATTCTTGTTCTAAATGAAGATCTACTTGTTTTTGAATGATTTTTTTTTTTCTAGGAAGCAACATGAAAGTAGCAGTAAGACAGCTACCATCATTTTAAAACAGGATAAGCCTAAATGTAATTTGCCTTTTATACACCAACAAATTAAGGAAAATGTATAAAGGAATTCTAGTGGTTTCATTATAGGTCAAGGAGACTGTATCTGTCCCAACCGCGGCACATGGCTATATCACTGTATCTTTTGGTTAAGTGCCACTGGTACATATTAAGATGAAAATTAAAACAAAACAAAAAAACAATGTTTGGTCCAAATGGACACATTTTCTCTCCCAATTTTGGTATCAAGGCTTATTCTCTTCTGTTTGGGTTCCATTGTTAAGTGCACAGAAATAGACAGCAGCATTTGTACTGAAACCCTCACATACCAAACAGCATATTCTAGGAGGTAAAAACCAAACACTAAATTCTACCCTCAAGGTGTCAAGTGTTCAGGATAAGAAGCAGTGTGACCCAGAGGAGGCAGCAGCCAAGGGGAAGACAACATGAGGGAAATGGGTGATGGAACAACAACAAAAAACAAAAAACAAACAAACAAACAAACAAAAAAACGACATTGTTTTATTTTCATGCCAGGAGAGGATCAAGGTGTAGCTCCTGTGTTAGCACCAGGACAACTAGGAAAAGTCAGGCGCAATGGGTAGGGCACAATCAGCAAATATTTCACAAGGATAATTTCTGCTTTTCCCTTCTCATTCTTCATAGTGCATATCTCAAGAGCTGCCTCTGAGTAACAGACTACTGCCTTCACAGCTCAAAATAACTGATTTTTGCCAGGACTGAACATCAGCAGAGTTTTCCTCTGCTCCCAGAAATGTCTCACTCCCTAGAATTGTCCCCTTAAACTGAATATTCACTGATGTTGGCCGATAAGCCAAGTGTGAAAATACAGCAAACCCCCCCCCCACTTGCTGAACCAGTCTTTAAACCAACCAAACTCCACAGAAAGACAGAACTAATGCAACTAGAGGGAGTGCCTCTAAAGACTGAGCCTTCATGCACAGACACAGAGCACAGAGGTACAGGGTATAGTTCATTTCAAATAGGATAGGAATTCCTATCTTATATACTATAATCTGCTTTTTTCAAGGTGGAAGAGAAATGGGTCTGGTTATCACTTGGAGTTTGGTTATACATATGCCTTTCTATTGCTGTTTGGGGCACATATCATCAGGCAGTATCTATGAAATCATCATCTTATGACTCCCAGGAGAAGGAAGCTGGAGTCACCAACTCAACATTAAGCTTCCAGACTCTAGGTCTGGATCAGGGCTGTTACCCCAAGGGAACAGGACCTCCTGCCAAAATGGAATTCCTCTGCTCCAGTCTCATGGTACCAAGGAGGATTTCTCAAGATGGTGATCTTCGAGCTCTGTGATTTCATGAGCCACACCAAGGAACCTTCAAAACTACACCGGAAGCAGATCCTCCCTTCAAACCTGCTAAAATTGGACAGGTCATCTCCTCTGGCATTCAACTGGAAGCTGTAGCGATCGGTTTCTTCAGATGTTGGCTCATGAGTTCCCTGGCACGAGATACTTGGATGTGTTCGTAACATGAGTTACAGACGAGAACTGGATCGTAGAGCTGTTGATCAGGAATGGGCAACTTCAAGTGGCAGCAGCCAGCACAAAATACGTTCCCACAATTTCTGCAAAGCACAAAGAAGGAAGAGTTCAACAGGAATGCCAATATGTTGAGAATGTATGATAATCCAAAAGACCTTACGTGAGTAAATACAGAGAAAAAGTGGGAGAAAACAAAAATCATTCTTATAAAGCTGTCACCATTTTCAGATTAATTTCATTCACATATATGCATACATATGCTTTACAAGCAGTACCAAATCATACATCTTACCTGCAATGGTGTCTTCGTTTGGCCAACCAAAATTCACAGTCACAGTTATAGCAATGTGATGCCATATGGTCTGGAACCCAGCGAGTCACCTAACAGAAAGCACAAGGAGAAATTCCAGGTCCTTGACAACAAGGAAGAACAACACTGCAAAAAGGAAAGCATCCCAGAAGGAAACAACAATGTCTGCTCTTATAGCTGGTCACTGCTTGCCTATAAAGATGACATTCACCTGGGGGAGTGTTCAGTCTATGGCACATTCATGCATCTCTGAGAACTAAAACTCACTGGCTCACACGTATTTGCCTGAACATACCTCAGTCTCTTTTTTATCAACAGGTTCCCAGCTTGCTTCTGAAAGGCAGTCTTCACTGTTATCAGAGCCAAAATCTTCTGTATCACTGCCATCTGACTCCTTCAAACACGTCTGAAGAAAAGGCAAAGACATCAACATCATCATTACTATCATTATGTGCCAGGCACTGTTCTAAGTGTATTATATGCATGAACTTATCTAATTCCTTACACCAACGTTAAGGATGTATACTATTACTACCATTTTACAAATAAGCCACAGAGCTAGTTAAGCGCTAATAAGTAATAAACTGGGATTTGAGAACAGTATTCTGAATCAGATCCATGTTCTTAATCAATATACTGAATCACAGTGCAGAAAGATTATTTCTCATTTCAATTTAAACCAAGGGTTTGCAACTATAGCCTGCAGGTCAAATTTAGACCACTGTTTTGGTAAATCAAGTTTTTTTGTTTGTTTTTTTATTGGTAAATCAAGTTTTATTGGAAGACAGCTATATATTCAATTCATTTATATATTGTCTACGGCTGCTTTTGCACTACAACAGCAGAGCCAAGTAGCTGCAATAGGCTATCCATCCTACAAGGCTAAAGTATTTATTGTAGTCCTTTACCAAAAAGTTTGCTGATTCCTATTCTAAATCACCACCCTGAATAGTAAGAAGTTGTTAGCTCTGACAATCCCACTAGCAGAGAGTGGAGGAAGGGAAATGCCTGTGTAGATGACAAGACAGTATAGGCAAGAAGCTGGCTCCTAGAAGCTCCCCAGGACTGCTGTGCCACAACCTGAGGCCTCCCAACACAGCAAAGCCGAGATGGCCTTCATCATCTCACCTGGATTATTCCAAAACATCCTAACCAGCCTCCCAGCCTGGGTTTCAATGCCTCCGCCACCTGACACACAATTGCTAGAGTAATATTCTTAAAACCCAGATCTGATCAGGTTACTCTCTGGTCCAAAATTTTATTGCCCTGAGGGTAAATCCATAAGAAGGGAACTCAAGTTGATCCTGTGAGTCCCCACCTACTTCTACAATGCCACTTCCCACCATACTAACCAACCGCCTCCCTCATGATCCCAGTCCAAGTAGCATGTACACACATACATGTGTACATGCACATGGTGTGCACATGCACACAAACATACACATACCCCTACCACGCCACTCAAATCACCACTGGAGTACCTACTGCCTCCAT